GAGACAGGCATCTTACTTGATTTACAGGCTCCAGGGGCGGGTGGCTCCTCAGCTGGTTGCTAAGGTATCTTTTAAATGGAAATCAGGGTGGAGAGATATCACCTATATCGTGTCAGCCATCTGCTAAATGTTGCCTCTTCTGTCTGGAACAGCTCGAGGTGGTTGTGACAGGAAGGCAGAGCCCAGGGGTAGGGGAGAGGGGAGGAAGGCCTGGGCTTGGGAGGAAAGTCTGCGGTCTATAGTCTTCAAGCCAAGGAATAGGAAATTTCCTTTACAGCCACCACGACAACTATTTTTCTTTCCACTCTCTCCTCATCTTTCTTTTTCCCTTTTATTTTAAATATAAAATCCCATCTGGAGGCTTTGATTACAAACCAACAGCCTAGTTCCGCAACTCTATGTTTATTGCTAGGATATATTTATGAGTGTGTGTTCTATGTATGTGTGTGCGTGCGCGTGCTTGCAAGCATGTTTGTGACCCTCCACCATCAGGGCCTGACAGGTGGTCTTTCTAAGCCAATTAGGCCTCTGCTGCTGAGAATACCCGTGTTCCTTCCAGGCCCATCCCCAAGCAGGAAACACAAGTGCCCAAATGTAGCTGAACAGCTGGGTCGTCACCGTTACTAAGCAATCCTGTAGTGGAAACAGCCAGTGTTTCCATGTACACCAGGCACAGGAAAGCCTCTGGAGGGGACTTCTCTACTCTGAGCAGGGCCGGGAGCCAAACAATCCTCACCTTAAATCACAGTTCTTCCCAGGGTAGCTGGAGGAATTCAGGCAGCCCACATCCTAGCAGTTCAACTGGGGCCAACAACACTCAGGGCCACAAAGTATGCTGGGGCAGGCTGCACTGTACAAGGTTGCTCACTTAAAGGGTCCTACACATGCCCAGTGGGGACACCTCTTTCTACCTGCACCAAGACACATTTATGTGCTAATGATGCTAATGATAGCACTTAACCTAGCATAGTAGTGAGGATCATGAAAAAATCCAATCAAGGGAGGGAAGAGACACTGTTTCTATCCTGGGTAAATACCCAAGACAGGATGGGTTCTCTGGCACACTGTAGGGTTGGGCGTGGGGAAATGTTTCTCTTCCTCTCCCCGCTCTCCAGGTTCTGCCTCTCCTTGTTAGCCCCCTCCCACCCTGCCCCCTCCCACTGCAGACTCAGAGGCATTCAGAGCAGACAAACGCTCCCTCCTCTGAAGATGGATTCCTCCTAGAAGGCTGATTCTGACATTTGATACCAGCATCCATTTCACAGTCTGGCTCTGATCCCCACACACCTCTCTCAGCTTCGCCCGCCCACAAATAATCCCATGGCTCCTCCTGCCCACTTGCGCTGTGTCTTTGCTCCTGGTCCTGAACCTCTTCTCCTAACTGCCACCTCTCCTTGTTCCCCTCCACCACCTACACCACCCTGAGATGCCGGGAGGGATCTAGGTCTGGGGTTCCCCCTGACAGCATTCCTGCCAAAAAGAGAGACCCCCCTCACCTGGGATATGCAATAATTACATATATTCATCATGTCTTCCTGTCTCCCTCCCAACTGGGGGTTTAAGCCGCCTTTTGTTTGGCTGTCAGAATAATATATTAAGTGATAGTTCTCCAAATGCAATTTTAATTAAGATTCAATAGTCACTTCTCTGTCAGTAATCTTCTATGCTGATTGCTTAAAATATATTTACCCGGCTCTATTATGTCACAGATTTGAATTCATTAGACGTTTGTTAATCCTCCACAAACTTTTTCTTTTTAAATGTGGTTTGTTTAGCATAATTTACAAGGGCACAACTGTTTGAGACAATGGGCCTCGTGCCTCCGAGGATCCAGAGTGTGCATCACAAAGTGCCTGGGCCTCACCTGCTAGCTGTCACCACTGGCTGCTTTCCACCAGAGGGCACAGAGGGCAGGTAACAGAGCCAAGGGTGGAAAAGCCCAAAGGCAGGCAGCCCGTCCCCATTGCACAGAAGTGGTCCATATGGGTGGAGGGAGGGAGGGTGGAGAGAGGGAGGGAGGAGAGAGGAGCTAGAGAGACAAATGGAAGATGTCCAGCACATGGATAGCCTTGGCCCTGGACCCAGGTGTGCCTGACAAATATTATTTCCTGTGTGCCATGACTTGAAAATGTTAGGAAGTGCTGGTTAGCCTTAGAACCCTGCAGCATTAACTGATGAGATCGCATAAGGAATACGGCCTTTCTCACGGGGACCTAGAACACTACCCCCCACAAAGACATACACGAATTGTCACCTCCTGCTTAGTTAGCAAGGGACATCCTTGCATATGTCTGTCCCTATGTACATGTGTGTATGGGGGCACCACTCAACTCTATTTGAGCGGTTGCAGTGGCCAGTCCCTCTATGACTATCATGAGTCATTGGAAGTATATCTGAAAAGCCCAAGAGGGCTCAAGGCAGAGAAGATTCCCTCTTGCTTCATTAGGCCCCAGGTAAGTAGGGATCTAGAAGGCCTGAACACATTTGAGCACAGAGCAAAGTGGGAAGGGAGAAGCTCCTATATATCAACACCTGTGACCAGGTGGTTGCCATTAGAGTGAGCTGCTTAACTTTAGAAGGAGCTTAGTGAGAACAGGGTCTGGCTGAATGGGCAGTTGGTCATGGGATGCTCAAGGCAGAACTGTGTGGGATTGGTCACTGTGGCAAAGGCTTTTCATGAGGGTACCTATAATGAAGAAGATGAAAAGAAAAAACATTCTCTAGAATAGGCCAGCACAATTTTTCTGTAAAGGACAAGATATTAAATATTTTAGGTTGTTGGCCATATATTGTCTGCTGCAATTACTCACCTGTACCACTGTAACACAAAAAAAGTAGCTAAGGCAAGTACATGAATGAGCATAGCTATGCTCTAATAAAACCTTATTTACAAACCCAGGTGGCAGGTTATATTTGATCTATGAGCTACATAGTTCACAGCACTTTTCTGTATAGTAGCCAGTAGCCGCATATGGCTATTGAACATTTGAAATGTGCTGTGAGGATAAAATACACATTAAATTTTGAAGACTTCATCAAATAAAAGAATGTTAAACATGTAATTAATAACTGTATTGATGATATATTGAAATAATATTTTGGATATGGAGGTTAATAAAACTTGTTATCAAAATTAATTTTACCTGTTTCTTTTTATTTTTTTTTACCATGGGCACTAGAAAATTTTAAATTACATTTATGGCTCACATTGTATTTCTACTGGACAGTGCTCCTTTCTCTGGATAAAATATAGTGTAAGCCTTTGGCCCTCGAAAGCTTTCAGGTAGGAGATTTAAAGAGACACAATAATGGAATTCAACTGTGCATAATAAAGTATATGTTTAGAATAGGTTTCAAAATATCCTACAAATCCTTTTTGTTTATCAGCTAGTTTATCTGCATCTGCATCTGTGTTGCTCAAACTGGGAGCTAAGGAATTCTACTTCCTCAAGATATTAATAATTGTTGCTCAAAAAGGGAGTGTCTTCATAGTAAAAAAAAAAAGAGAGAGAGAGAGAGCAAGACTAATGCAAAATTAAACATTAATCCAGTGTCTTTATTGCAGCAGAATTTTTCAACTCTTCTAAACTTGCCAATGTATATAGAGCTTTTGCAAGAGTAGGCAGCACTTCCCCCGACGTATTGGCCTTAGCCATTTTTGCAGAACCCTAATTAGTGCTTCAAGAAGTCAATTTGAGAAATTGCATGCATGATGCTCCACAACCAGTGTGCATGATTTTCTAAAAGTCCAACTCAATTTGTTGTTTTTAGCATTACATAAATAAAACCACACTTGGGAGAACATGAAACAGTGAGAAAACGGTAAGATTTAGAAGGACAAAGATCTAAGTCAAACTTTTATTCCTTCCTTACCTAGTCATTCATGCAAAAGCACCTGCTGTGTGCCAGGCAGGGCTTTAGGCCTGGGGCAGATATTGGCGAGTAAAAATAAGCCCCTTCCTTTTCGGGCTTTATCACCAGAACAAAAACCAACCAACAAAAAACAAGACAAGCAGGTAAAATGTGGAGTATGGTAGGTAAGTTCCAAGTAGAAAATAGAAAGCAGAGAAGAGGGGTCAGGCAGAATGGAGGGCTGCGGGAGAGGATGTCTGGGAAGGCCTCGGTGAGAAGGTGACTTTTGAGCACAGGCAGAAAGGAGACACAAGGCCACTGATGCCCTTGTCTGTATATAGCGATAACTCCTTCCTCATCAAGGGTGTTCGTAAAGCCCAAAGGAGATGATGTGTGTGAGGGTCCAGACAGGGGCCCAATTGCACGTACTTAGCGCGTACTAAGTTCATTCCTCCATTCCTCTGCCACCTGTTCTGGCCCTTCTTCACTTCCAAAGCTCCCCAAGATGCAGGAACTATGTGCACTCTCCTTGGCGAAGAGTTTATCTGTAGCCAGTTCCTCACTCACCCTGGCATTTCTCAGAGCCAACTCTCTTCTTGTCCACAACTTTGTTCATTAAGGAATTCTGGTCTGATTTAATGTCATGCTGAACCAATTTAGAAGGTAAAACTGTGCCTCTCAGTACAGTTATAACACACTTCTCAAGCTCAATCATTATCGGACAAGCCACTTTATGGTGTCACTCATCTATCTGTCCATCCAATAAATAGCTAATGAGCGCCTACTGTCTCCCAGGCACTGAGCTAAATGCTTGGAACAGCAATTAATAACATAGGCAGAAGTACCAGCCCTCATGCAGCTGACATGCTACTGGGGGAGACGGAAAACAGTCAATAACCATTACCAATGAGCAAATTAAATGGTGTGTTGAAAGAGGATAAAACTAAGGAAAACAGGAAACACAGAACTGAAGTAGAGAGACTGTTGGAAGAGATTAGAGCAGGCATGAGAGCAGGCCATTCTCTGCCGCTCCCTAAGGCCAGGGGTTAGTGTGAGGGAGGAAGCTCTGGGTGAGGGCTTCAGGAAGTCTCCTTCTGACCCTGACTGTGTCCCTCCTTTCCAGGCACCCCGGCCTGAGTGACCAGACCATGGAGGCCCTGCTTGGAGGCCTGCTGGCGTTTGGCATGGCGTTTGCTGTGGTCGACGCCTGCCCTAAGTACTGTGTCTGCCAGAACCTGTCTGAGTCACTGGGGACCCTGTGTCCATCCAAGGGGCTGCTCTTCGTGCCCCCTGACATCGACCGGCGCACAGTGGAGCTGCGCCTGGGCGGCAACTTCATCATCCACATCAGCCGCCAGGACTTCGCCAACATGACAGGGCTGGTGGACCTGACCCTGTCCAGGAACACCATCAGTCACATCCAGCCCTTCTCCTTCCTGGACCTCGAGAGCCTGCGCTCCCTGCACCTAGACAGCAACCGGCTGCCCAGCCTCGGGGAGGACACCCTCCGGGGCCTGGTCAACCTGCAGCACCTCATCGTGAACAACAACCAGCTGGGTGGCATCGCAGATGAGGCCTTCGAGGACTTCTTGCTGACACTGGAGGACCTGGACCTCTCCTACAACAACCTCCATGGCCTGCCCTGGGACTCCGTGAGGCGCATGGTCAACCTCCACCAGCTGAGCCTGGACCACAACCTCCTGGACTACATCGCCGAGGGCACCTTTGCTGACCTGCAGAAACTGGCTCGCCTGGACCTCACCTCCAACCGGCTGCAGAAGCTGCCCCCAGACCCCATCTTTGCCCGCTCCCAGGCTTATGCTCTGACTGCCACGCCCTTTGCTCCACCCTTGTCCTTTAGTTTTGGGGGGAACCCTCTGCACTGTAATTGTGAGCTTCTTTGGCTGCGGAGGCTTGAGCGGGATGATGACCTGGAGACCTGTGGCTCCCCTGGGGGTCTCAAGGGTCGCTACTTCTGGCACGTGCGTGAGGAGGAGTTTGTGTGTGAGCCACCTCTTATCACCCAGCACACACACAAGCTACTGGTTCTGGAGGGCCAGGCGGCCACGCTCAAGTGCAAAGCCATTGGCGACCCCAGCCCTCTTATCCACTGGGTGGCCCCCGATGACCGCCTGGTGGGGAACTCCTCTAGGACCGCTGTCTATGACAATGGCACCCTGGACATCCTCATCACCACATCTCAGGACAGTGGTGCCTTCACTTGCATTGCTGCCAACGCTGCTGGAGAGGCCACGGCCACGGTGGAGGTCTCCATCGTCCAGCTGCCTCACCTCAGCAACGGCACCAGCCGTGCAGCACCCCCCAAGTCCCGCCTCTCAGACATCACGGGTTCCAGCAAGGCTGGCAGGGGAGGTGGAGGCAGCGGGGGCGGGGAGCCTCCCAAAAGCCCCCCTGAACGGGCTGTACTTGTATCTGATGTGACCACCACCTCAGCTCTGGTCAAGTGGTCGGTCAGCAAGTCGGCGCCCCGGGTGAAGATGTACCAGCTGCAGTACAATTGCTCTGATGATGAGGTACTGATTTACAGGTGAGCCAGCCATGGTGGCAAAGGCAGGGGCTCGGGCTGGGGAAGGAAGAGGTGATGGGGAGGTTGGGACCTGTTCCTAGCTAGGCTCCCCTTCCCCAAAGGTGCCTGTGAAGTTCCCGGGCAAACTGAGCCATTCCTGCAGGTGAGACGAGATAGAGAGAACACCACACACAGGTTAAAACAAAAGAGCCCACACAGGGGCAGCCTGTAGGTCTATGTGTATAGTAGCACCACGCCTCCGTGGTGGCTGGCTGTGGTGGATGGTCACGTAGCTGATAGCCACTTAATTTTCTATTTCAAGCCTAGTTCTCATAAGAACAAGGAATAGACCTCCTGGCCAAGAGAACTGGCTCCTCTGGGGAGGAACGTATTTGGCCTTCATATGGACTCATATGTAGTGTGGTTAATTGACTTCGAGGTCAGAAAGAGTAGACTCATATGCAGTGTGGTTAATTGACTTTGACTCAGAAAGAGTAGGATTCAAGTCATAGCTTTGCCACTTGCTAGTAATTTAATTCTCCACCACTTGCTGTCATTTAATTCTCCTGAGCTACCTCAGTTTCTTCATCTGTGAAATGGGGATAATTCACACCTGACTTAGGTAGGGCACGTGTTCATAGATAATTGACTCAAATTGGCTTTAACCAAAACCAAAAAGAGAGAGAAAGAGAGAGAGGAGGAAGGGAAAAAGGAAGGAAAGAAGAAAAGAAGGAAAGGGGGAAAATCAAGGGATCACTTCCTATCTCTGGTAGCAAGAGAGGTTAAGAGTGGAAAGCTTCAGTAGAATTGCATGAGTCACTTAGAGGAAGGAAGGAGGTCACAGAGTGACAGGGACTGAGGGAGGGAGGCAGGAAGAAAAAGGAAGGGGAAGTGTGTTGTCTCGTGTCATTTGAAGTCAGGAATCTGCTTCAGGCTTAGCTGGATCAAAGACCCCTACAAACATCCTGTTTTCTCCCCATTTCTTACCTCCCCTAAGTTTCACCTTCCTCTGACTTGGCTTTACCCTCAGGCACTCTCTTTCCTCTGGGAGACCTCTGCCTAGTTTGGTCCTCCAGCCAGGCTTAGAGCCCACTTAGAGCTCTAAATGGAGAAGAGTGTCTTTTTCCCAATGGAACTCTGATTGAGTCAGACCAATTCAGGTCTTAGAGGTAGAGTCATCCTGCCCACCCCTGCTGACCTTCCTAGACCTCAGTCTCTATCTAGAAGTGGAGAAGTCGCTGTGAAAATCAAGGATCACTTCCTAGCTCTGGTAGCAAGAGAGGTTAAGAGTGGAAAGCTTCAGTAGAATTGCATGAGTCACTTAGAGGGAGGAAGGAGATCACAGAGTGACAGCATCCCAGGGGACCAGGGTGGTGGCCACAGATAAGTTCCCCTCTCACCCAGCCCCAGTTTATATGAAACATGAGGGGCATGGCCTAGAGTTTTACTGCTCAAGGAATGCCCAGTGTCCTTTAAATTCCTGTGTGTTTTATTTTGTGCATATAAAATAATTATTCCGAGAAGGGATTCCTATAGGCTTCACCAGACAGCCAGAGGGTCAATAGTGCAAGAGATGGCCAGAACACTGGGTCCATTGCTGAGGTTTCCAGCTCTGACTTTCTGAGTTGAAGAGTCTCTGAGTGGGAAGCTGTGTGGGAAAGGGCACATGGGGAGGAACAGGGTCAGTGTGACAGAGGGTGGGTTTGTCATGGACACTGCAGTGGAGCTAGGGGTCTCCATTACCCAGCAGCTGCATAGAAGTGTCCCATCTCAGGATGGAGAGGGAGAAGTATTGGAACTCCAACACATGCATATATGCACCTACATAGCAATATGTAGCTATAATTAAATAATAAAACTTAAACATCAAGGTATTTTTCTCATTATACAAATCATAGTCTTTGAGAAAATTTGGAAAGTAGAAAAAAATTATAAAGAGGGAAATAAAAAATCACCTGTAATCCCACATCTGAAGTTGACCAGAGGCATTTGAAGGCCTCTCAGTTTTATATCAATTTTAAAATGATAAAATAGATTGATCTATTGCATACTTTTATATCTTAATTCTTTCCACTCAACATTATAGCTGGCTTAGTTCCCATGGTATTCAAATATTTTTTATTTAGCCATGCCATAATTTATATAACCAATCTTCTATAGTTGGACATACATGCTGTTTCCCAGTTTTCAATATTAAAAGTAACAATGCTGGGTATTTTTGTACAAAAATATATTTGTGGAACTTCGGTGATTTCTTTAGCATATTTTCCTGGGAGGTGAATTACCGGTTTACAAGTAAATTCTAATCTTTATACATAAATATTTATTTACCCTCTCACTAGTGGAAGTGCCCGTTTTGACCACACTTTTGTCAATGCTGAATATATAATTACTTTCATCTTGGCCAATTCTAGAGGTGAAAAATGGCATCTGTTTTAATTTGCATGTCTTTGATAACGTGTGAGGTCGACCTTTTGAAAATAAGTATATTTCTTCACTTGTGAATTTATTATGAGGTCTTGACTTTGATAAAAAGCATAAAGGTGTCAAGCTACAGGCTCTGAGGCTTGCAGAGGCGTGAGGCGTAGGGAAATGCAACATGTGAGGGGGAGAGGAGATGCTGACATCACGGAGGCAACATGCTGAAGTCGCCAACACGGCACCACTTCCGGGCCTCAATCGCACTGGGAGAGGCAGGGAGGGCTTGGGGTGTGCCCTGGCAGTCAGTCAAGGCGGGAACTGAAACGGCTTTTATTTGGTGATGAAGAATCTAGAGACACTAGATTTATAAATATGATATAAATAAAATAGAAGCATCAGAAACCTAAAAAAAAAATCAGCTAACAATGGTGACGTCCTCTTAGGGCTAGCTGTGATGCTGCATGGAAAATTCTTCAAATAGAGTGGGTGCATTGTAAGCGCTCAAGGTATGTGGATTATTATATTAGTAACAGTAGCAGGAGTAGTTAGGGTATAAATAATGGTATAAAGTAAGATCGTCATCTGGTCCACCATCCTAGGAAGAAAACAGAAGAGGAAGAATAGGGAGGAAATTCAATCTTTGTTTTAAGGAGACAAATTTCCAAAATTTTACAGAGAAAGATAAGCAGGAGTCTAAGTAGCCAGTTAATAGAAATAGCGATCACTAGCCAACATTGTGGCAAGCCCACTGTGTGTTTTACAGGCAGTATCTCATTTAATCCTTCTTGACATACCAAGAGGTATAAAAGGCCAGGAGAATTCCTTTTAATAAGAAACTCTCTTCTGAGATCGCACAGCCAGACAGAGGCAGGGTTGTGATTTGAACCCAGGCCTCTGTCTCAGCACCCAGTCTCCACTGCTGTGGTCATACTGCCCATTGTTCTAAAAGGGAATATATCTTGAGATAAATAAGGGAAATTCTAAGACAGACCCTGGAGTTTTAGAAAACGAGTTGCCTGTCAGAAAGAAGAGACACCAGCAGGCACAGTGGCTCTGTGCTGTGCTGGGGTTTCAACAGGCAGGTGTACAAAAGACGAGAGGGGAGGCCTGATGTGAAGATGAATATTAAAGACAGCACACACAGTACAGAGAGAGCAAAAGGTGGGCCAGAAGGGCTGTTCAGTTACGTTCATGGCAAGAAGAAAAAAGGCTGGTTTGGAAACAGGTGTGTTGAGAGTCGGAGAAGAGGGAAAGCCTTGCAGTTTCTAACTCACCTCCACCTTCCCAGCCAGGACCCCAGCAGCAGCAGCAGGAACGACGATGGCACAAATCTGCACTGAGGAATTATCTGTGCTGACCACCATTTGAAGGGTTTCATGCACACTAACTGGTTTAGTTCTCACAAAAGCCAGGGAAGTAAAAACTATCTTTTCTTGTAAAACCATTACATATAAGAAATTTATGGCCGGGTGCCATGGCTCATGCCTATAGTCCTAGCACTCTGGGAGCCTGAGGTGGGTAGTTTGCTTGAGCTCAGGAGTTGGAGACCAGCCTGAGCAAGGGTGAGACCCCATCTCTACTAAAATAGAAAAACTAGCCTGGCATTGTGGTACTCACGTGTAGTCCTATTTGGGAGGCTGAGGCAAGAGAATTGCTTGAGCTCAAGAGTTTTGCTGTGAACAACAACAATAATGCCATGGCACTCTACCCAGGGTGACAGAGTGAAACTCCGTCTCAAAAATTTATTTATCTATTTATTAAAAAAAAAAAAAAAGACAGAAACTTGCCAAGGTGTTACATAGTGGCTGAGTAGCAGAGATAGAACCTGAATCCTGGCAGCTTATATGTTTGCTCAGAGCCTCAACCTGGGAAGGATAAGACCAATCCCATGGAGAGGGATGCTGGAGCCTGACAGATGTGCATCCTAGTACCATACATGAGTTCTGGTCCCTAGGCTGCGATGGGTCACACATAGATCAATAAGGACTAAATAAATAGGTAGATGAGGTTTGCAAGCCTTTGGTGGTGATCCTGAGATAGTATAGACAGGAAGATAAGGGGAAATATTCTGCTTTCAAAGAATAAACTCCATAAAGATTAGTGTGCTAGGCCAGACATGGAATCCTTATAAAATTCCAGAGGGACTTTCTCAACATTGATGGCGATGAGCCCTTGGAAAAGAATCTAACCCAACATAGGTTCAGTAAGAGCAAATCCTGCCAAATTATTAAGCCATGTCTTTAGAAGAGGTTGTAGACCAGGAGTTCTCAACCTTTTTATCTGTCTCCTTGTCATTCACAAGGGCAGCACTCCTGAAGGACATCCCCCCTGCACAGTGATTCTCTACTAGACCCCACTTTCCATCTCCATGGGGGAAGTGGACCAATGTCTCTGGGGTGATAGATGTACTTGGAAAATGCCCTAGGAGTTTCCACTAGCTGTGAGTCACTACCATAAACAGAGCACGTCGTAAGTTTACACATGTAGGACACTTGGAAAACCCTCCTACTGTCTTAGAGACAAAATGGAGAAATGTGAATTAATGAAGTAGACTAGTAACTTACCAAATAACTGGATTAATTCATAAATTGGAGTGAACA